AAGGCGCCTTGATTCTCCTTCCTCAACACATAACTTATGTATTCCCAGATGGCCTCTTTTGTACAACTTGTTTCTGCAGATGATGAATTGGATGGCCAAACGCCGTATTCCCCTTTTGTCCTTGGCAATTGCCCCTGGTGAATACGCCTCTTTGTCCAGGAAATTCCAGATGTCGTAATACCAGGGGTTCGTGTCTTGAACCTCATCTATCACGGCGATGGTCTCATGCGCTGGCGTATACTTCTATTCAATGATGATCGGGCGCATCTTCACTCCAAGCAGAATGTCCACCATGGAGGATAAAGTTGCCAACACATTAGCAAATCGGTTGTTCTCTCTGTGCAAATGCGTGAATGTCAATTTCTCAAACCTTAGAATTAACACATCCAGGACCTGATGATAAACCTTCATTTTCTCTTCCTTAACCCGCCAATCTCCGTTAGCTTGAGACACAACCAAATTCGAATCTCCGATAACATCCAATCTTATTGCCCTTAGTTCTAGGGCAGCTTCCAAACCAGCAATACACGCTTCGTACTCTGCTTCATTGTTAGATACTTTAAACTAGAGCTTGAAGGCTAGAGGTATGTGTGAATCATCGGGTGCTATGAGCAACACACCGATCCCATAACCGTACTGATTAGACGCTCCGTCAAAGTACATTGTCCATGGTTCCTCTTCTATCTGCAGGATGTCTTCATCTGGGAATAGATACTCCACTACTTCATCATCTCATTCTACTGGTGATCTGCTAGAAATTCCGCTACAGCTCTCCCTTTAATTAATTTGCGCGTGACATACTTGAGGTCAAACTCGGAGAGAAGAAGCAACCAACGAGCTAGCTTACCCGTAACTGGTGGTTTCTCAAAGAGATATTTGATGGGATCTAAGCTTGAAACCAGAATTATAGAATGAGCTAACAGGTAGTGTCTCAACTTCCTCGTTGCCCAAACCAAAGCTAAGGAAGCTTTCTTGAGAGGAGTGTAACGAGTTTCATATTCTAGCATCTTATTGCTTAGATAATAGATTGCGCTAGCATGCACCCCATGGTTGAATTTGTTACTGATAAATACAAGATTAGTGGTTTCCCCAGTTCTGGTGGCGACAATACATGAGGATTCTGAAGGTACTGTTTAACTTGCTCGAAGGCGAACTGACACCGATCATCCCATTGGAATTTCTTTCCTTTCTTCAACAGACCAAACAGTAGTTCACAAGTCAAGATTAATTTTGAGATAAACTGTCTTATGAATTGCACCTTACCCAGAAAGTCGCGTACCTCCTTTTTAGTCCTTGGTGGTGGCATTTCTACGATGGCCTTGATTTTGGAGGGATCTATTTCAATTCCCCTTTGTGTAGTAAAAAATCCCAATATTTTTCCTGAAGTTACCCTGAAGGTGCTTTTCTGTGGGTTTAACCTCAGTCTATACTCCTTGATCTGCTCAAAGAATTTTTCCAGTGTGGTGTAGTGACCTCATCGCTCTTTAGACTTGACGATCATATTGTCCACATACACCTCAACCTCCTTGTAGATCATGTCGTGCAAAATGGTGGTTGCGGCCTGCTGATATGTAGCCCTAGCATTTTTCAGTCCAAAAGGAATAACTCTATAACAGTAGGTACCCCATGGCGTGGTGAAAGTAGTTTTCTCTCTGTCCTCCGGTGCCATCAAAATCTGATTATACCCGGAAAACCCATCCATGAATGAAAGCAAAGCATGGCCAGCTGTGAAGTCTACCAGTTTATCAATGTGTGGCAATGGAAAATCATCTTTCGGACTTTCTCTACTTAGATCCCAGAAGTCGACGCAGACCCTAATTCTGTCGTCTTTCTTTGGAACCGGAATGATATTAGCCAACCAAGTCGGTTATTCAGATACCATCAAGAAACCTGCATCAATTTGTTTGCTGACCTCCTCTTTGATCTTTAATGCCCAATTTGGGCGAACTCTGCGCAATTTCTGTTTGGCTGGTCGGGCCTCGGGATTAAGAGGAATCCGGTGCTGTACAATCTCAGGATCTATTCCAGGTACGTCTTTGTAGGACCACGCGAAAACATCTTTGAAATCTTTTAATAAAGCGATTAAACGCTCGCGTTCCTTCGAAAACAATGTGGATCTGATCTGGACCAACGGGGATCCTCCTCAGTACCCACATTAATTGCAGTGATTTCATCTATGCAGGGCTTAACGCGCATCTCCTCCTCTTGGGCAACCAAATTTTTCAAAGCCCGAGGAGTTTCTTCCTCTTCGTTTAAGTCAAAATTTTGAAAATCAAGATCAGTGCAACAAATTAAAGGCACAGAGAAGTAAGCAAACTCTACGACATTCCCATTAGTAAAATCTGGGTCCTCGGTTACAGTTGACTCAAAAGAAAAACTAAAAGAAAACTTTGACAGGACTTTGGCATCTGGGTTACCACTTCTAGAAGTACCAGACTCAGAAGAACTCGAATCTGACTCCGACTCTACAGACTCGATGGAATCAGATTCGGACTTATTATCCGATTCAGAATTGCTGATGATGCCCTTTTCAAATTTCCAGATTAGGTGTGGAGCCTTAGATGCATCCACAATAAGCTTAGAGAAATCCGCTTCTGGTTTATCCCCGATCATTGAGATAGTAAAACTATCCCCCAAGTTGTCAGACTCAGTTCTGACAGTAGAATTTGTTAATAGGTTAGTCAGTGTTTTTCCCAACAGCTCTTTTTCTTCAACGTTCACAGTTACAGTCATGCCTTGACCTGTATTAGTACTCAGGTCCATCTGCTCATCTTCCTCTTCCGGTAACTGGTGCCCGAAGAAAATATTGAACCCGGGATAGATTGCCTTCGTCTCCTGGTCAAACGAAGGCTCTGGAAATCCACAAAAGGGGAAATCTTCGCCTTGGCGAACAAAGCGTCCGTTCAAGGTTCCCCGTATTGGTTTGTGAACTAACTGATATTGTTTTCCATCATTCTTTGCTTTAATTCTTCCTCTCAACTTAGCCCACTTCTTTTGCCAATCCTTAGCAGTAGGTTTGTATCCCAGCCCAAAAGCATGGGGGTTGTGAATCAGCTCCTTAGTAACAGCGTCTCCTTGCCTGCCACTTCTGCCTAGTCCTGATCCAGGCATATGCCCCTGTTTGTTCATCATGTAGATGGACTGAGCACTCACATAGATTTCATCAGCTTCTGCCATTATAGATTAGACTACCCGGCCTTCTGTTAGTGAGAAGTCAGAGAGGAATACATCTTCTTTCCTGTGTATGATTTCCAACACTGGTGTGGCAGTTCCCTGGGGAGAGTGGATCGGCGAATTACCATACACCGTAGCAATCTCACCTTTGAAGGGGTATTTCACCAACTGATGGACTGTTGATGACACAGTTTTTATCTGATGCAGCCAAGGCCTTCCCAACAGTAGATTGAAGGTAGCCGGAACATCCATTACATGGAATTCTACCTCATGTTCGGATGGGCCAATCAAGATATGGCTCTTGAATGTTCCCATGACATCTCGGCTTGTATTGTCATAAGCTCAGACGGCTTGAGTTGTGGGTGTGAAGTCAACAGGCCTCAAACCTATGGCATAAGCAGTCCGTGCCAGACACACATTGATCGCTGATCTAGTATCTACTAACACTATCGGAATCCACTTTTTTCGGCTCTCCAGAGTTACATACAAGGGCCGGTTGTGGTTGGTACCCTCAGATGGCAGCTCTTTATCCATGAAAGATATCACTGGCATAATATCGCTGGATGTGACTAACAACACCAGTTGATCAGCGGTAGTGTCGATAGGCAGTTTGGTGCGATTCATTGCCTCTAGCAATGCTTGTCTATGCTCCCGGGAAACCATTATCAATCCCCAGATTGAGATATCTGCCTGAATCTTCTTGAGCTATTTCAAAACCAGGTTGTCTTCACAGTCCTTCTCTCTGGTGTTATCAACTTCTTTGTTAGAGGATTTTGGTTGATCTACAGCCGCAGGTTTGAAGCACCGACCATTCTGGGTCATGTGATTGATTTCGTCTATATACCACGTATCGTCGGAGGTATTGGATTTCCACCATTCGTCCGTGTATGCATGACTCAGATCATTATCTTCCTACCACTCTCCAGCAGTCATGGCCAAGCTTTTATCAGACTCTACTTGGAGCATGTTCACATCATGCCCCTCAGCAACATACCTTTCCTTTCCAACTCTGGTTTTGGTTTCTGGCAAGGCATCTTCCTTTGAATTTCTTCCATTCTCTCCTGCTGGAATTGTTCCAACACTTGTTCTATATTAGTAATGGATGTGGTCTCGGCTTTTTCCTCCTTGACCCCTTTTGTTTGTTCCACCTCATCTAGTTCTTCATCACCAAACTAACCGTTGTTTGTTTCCAACTGACTTGAATCCAACCAGCCTATCTGGACACTGCTTATTTCCTCTTCTTCAAAGAACTAGAGGTTGGCTAGGTCTTCTTTTATCTGAAATAAATCATCTTCCAGTTCGGCCAAGTCATTTAGGCCTTGTTCAAGCCAATCGTTTTGATGTTGCCCTAACTGGCCTTCTTCGATAGCATTGACACTGAGAACATCCGGCAATAAGACCACTGGTTTTGGTTTATTAATGGCCACAATGTATATACTGGGGTCATACTCCTCTACAAGCGAAGCCCCATTTTCTATGACACAGGTTTCAGATAACCTTGTCTTTAATGCACCCTCCTCTTTCTCTGTTCCAGCTACAACCTTTTTGGGTTGGATTTGTAGGGTTAGGTCCAACATGCACATATCCGTGTCTTTTGGAATAACCACCTCCGGTTTCGGTAGGTGGGACGAGGTAATATATATGCTTGGGTTGAAGGTAGGTGGTAGTGTTTGGATGTGGTTAGTCTTTCTGGGGGGAGGAACTTGGTTATGTGTAGGAAGTGGGTTGGTTGTCACATTTGGTTTAGGAGGGGCGATGACTTTGTTGTCAATGAGATTGTAAATCTCATGACGTAGACGATAGCATGAATCTGTATGACGGCCATGTTATTGGTGGAAAGTACAATATTGGGTTGGGTTGTGTCTAGCTGGCAGTGGGTCTGGGAGAGGGCGAGGATCAAGAGGCTTGAGATGCCCCTTGTCCATCAACACCTTAAGGGTGTGGGTTGGACTCATATAGAGGGGGTTAAAAGGTCTTCGGTTCCAAGGTTGACTATTTTGTGCAGTTTGTGAGTTTATGGCAGCAGCAAAGGGATCGACCATCTTGGCCGATGATGTAGCAATGGTACTGACATCTGTAGGCCGTGGAATAGTGTTAGTACTAGCATTGGTACTCCGAGTGAATGGCTTTTTTGCAGGTTCACTTGTTTTGTGGATGATGCCCTTTTTGAAGGCGCTCTCAATTTGAACCCCTAACTCATGTAAGGAAGCAAATGTGGACAACGGTGCCACTATCATTTTCTGCAACATGTCTAGCTCGAGGTTTTGGACCACTAACCTGACTTGTTCTCTTTCAGAAGGTCTGCTCGTTATTTTGGCTGCCTTTGCCCTCCATCTTGCCACAAAGTCAATGAAGGGTACTTTGCAGCTCTGAGTGGTTGCTTCCAGCTCACCGATTGTTACTTCTATCTGAGTATTGTATGAGTATTGGTTAACAAACCCCTCAGACTGTTCTTCTCAATTCCGCTTCGTTGAGTCCTCCAGTTTGGCATACCAGATGGCCGCTACATCTGATAGGGTCCTCCTAAATAATGACAGTTTTTGTGCCCTAGATAAACCCATGGGCCTTAACACATCTGAAAATAGGCGGACATGCACAATCGGATCCCCGCTCCCATCAAATCTATCGATGTGAGGCATTTTGAATTTTTCTGGCAACCTGACTAAAGCCTCAGTGTACCCGTCCTCAATGTCGGGAATTGAATTGAAACCTTGGGATTTCTTCAAGGCTTTCTCAAGCCTTACAATTTTGATCATGGTTGGATTAACTTCATTCATATCGAAGGGAATGGTTCCCGTAGGAGGTTGTACCGGAGGTCTGTAAGCTGAAGTTGTTGGAAACATCTCCTGAAGATCTGGGACCTGAGGAGTTTCCAGTGGTGGAAGGAGATTAGGATTTGGCTGGGCAGCCGCGACCAGATGTACAGTAGATGCAGATGCCCCAGATGGGCGTCGCAGATCAGCGATGACTTCATCCTGTGCGGCCAACCTTTGATCCATGGTTCTCAAAGCTGCCATCATGGCAGCAATTTCTTCTGTGTTCTGTGCCATTCTTATAAGTGGGTGAGATATTGGTGAATTGCAGATATGAATAGGTGTTTGTGGAGTGCTTTGTACTGGTGCAGATGCCTGTTTGTTCTTTTTTCGTCGAATGGCCAGTGGGAGAGAGACTAACACTCGCTGACCACCAACAAGGTCTTGAATTTTGCCCTACCAGAACGAGTCCAAACAACTCGGGGGATATCGAGTTTTTCTGGAGCTATGATGAAAAATTACTTAACAAAAAGAAAGAAAGAAAACATATTTTAAAAAAACGGACAGCACTTCGGCCCCAATTCTCAATTAATCACAACATGCAGCTGAACTGTGATCCCCACTGAACTTTGTTCTCAGACTGATTGCTCATCTGTACCATTGCTATGAACCACCCTGTATATTTCACTGTAAAAGCACATACCACATAAAAAGAACCAAAACACCCCTATGAGGGGGTAAGGCTACCCTGTCCTAGATTTTGACATGATCTAGGTTACACTATTTCAAGCAAGTGGTTTCATAACATCATGTACGGATAGCATCCTGTCCTAATTTGAATAGTCACTAGAGCGTACTACATGCATTAGGTCAAATAGTCACAAAAGGTACCTCAGCAAAACTACCTAATATACCTTTCACACCTAACACCGAGAAGTAAAAAGAGGATCAAACGGTACAGCGGTAATTCAGATCCAAGGGTTGCGTTCCCAACTTGACAAAGCCTATGACCGGTCAACCTTTTGGCAAGCTTTGTAGGCAAGCCTCTGGCAAATCGTCCAGGAATAATAGATGGCAAACACAAGGACTTAGGCGCACCAATGCAAAAGTAATGCAAAGAACATATTTAGGTAGATAAAATTTCACATCATGAAGTTTGAGTCAAGTTCTCTATTTCCCCAGCAGAGTCGCCAGAAACTGTAGCTCGGCTTTCGCGCTCCCTCTCGGAAGAATGAAATAGCCCTTATAGTTCGGACTACACTTGTGTTGGTTCTGAATCAGATTTCACAAGTGCAATGTGAAACAGTGGAAACACAAAAAGAGTCCAAATCCGACAATTTCTTTTGGAAAATCGATGTTTGAATCAAATACCAAAAATAGATTGCTTTGCCAGATTTCAGAGTCGCCACCTAAATATTTATTTTTGGGAAATTTAGGAAACCCATGACTCGTGCCAAAGGCCATTAGTCCGTCGTTACCAAAGTGTCTTGGTTCGGGAACTTATGTGTGAGAGGGTAAGGTCAATAATTGAACACCTCACTCACCCGATCCAAGATCGGCCTCTACTAATCATGATATGGTTTTTATGTACAGTATAAGGTCTTGTTCTATATGTAACATACAAGTATAGACTAATTTCACGAAAAGTTGGAACGTTTGATTTCATGTTTGTTTTGAAAAAAAATATTTTGAATATGTATCATTGAAAATGGTGATCTCATATATACATGAATCAAAGTATCCCAATTCAAGTGATTAGCCTTCATCTAGAGGCATTCAAACAGATATATCAAATAAGCAGTTAGCCTCATGGTAGTATGTTTTGATATGACAACATTCACACTTATGCAATATGCTAAAGCAAAAATGCTTACCTTAATGTCCGAAGGCGAGTCCAAAAAGAAAGCAAATAGTTAGAAAAAAATGCATGATCCTAATTTAATAACTAATGCAACACATGTAACGTGCAATTAAGGTTCGGCTACTAGTATGGCATGTGAGTCAATTCAAGGCATGTGATAGTGCATGTATGCAAGTAAGGAGTTTGAATTTGACATTTGAATAATATGATGAGCCGAACTTTTATGCATGTAAACGAATGGATGCAAATCATGGAAAATGTTGATTAAACATGATGTCCCTAATCTAACCATCATAAGCAGTGAAATAAAATGGAGAAAGAATGGGGGTTGGAAGACATACAACTTATTACATGCTTGTCCTCACGAAGGAGGGTCCGAATAAATAATTATTACAAAGTCGAATGACTAATAAATGAAAAGGGGCTGTCTAATTTATTACAATAATAATATGCAATGATTGCTCGATGTTCCTCAGGAATTATTTTGTCTGCCTTGTGGGATTTGTTCTGTTTCACCCCTAGTTACTGCTTTCAACCAAAAGTGTATTGTTTTGCAATTTATTGGAGCCTTACTAACCCCGAAACGCGACTCCGTCGAGCCCCAAATAAATCCAATACTTTGTTTTCTTGCGAAAATCTGTTTTTTGTACTTGAGGTGAAACAGTGCAGACAGGGTATTCCTAGCCATGTTTGTCCTTTTTTTTTACCCTTCTCTATCATAAAAATACTCAAGAGAGGATTGGAATCATCTCCAAAACCATCAATTAGCAAGTTGATTACTTGATGATCTCGGATACAATTGGACAATGATCAATAAATGCAATGAATAAACAACCACCCATCCCTCCCATCATGAAGTGAATTCAAGAAGGGAAGTAGAGACACTTCAAGATTCATCAAATTATCATGAATTGATGTAAGACAAGCCTTGACACAATAAACTCGGTATGACGTCCGACCGAATTCAATTAATCATATTGGTTCTTTATGTAGGTTGTGATCCAATTTTAACCAATTTTATTAGTCTTTTTTTATTACCTTTCCATTTCTTTATCTTTTCTCCTGTTTGTGCAAAAGTGATATTTACGTCCACTAAGTCCAAAACATAACAAAGAGAAACAAACATTAACTTAACCCGAAAAACAAATCTTATTATCTTCGGGGGAAATTACAAAGGAAGAGTCAAACTTATTTACAAGCGATAAGAGATTCCAAGTCAAACTCAAGATGTGCAACAAGGACTAGTCAAACTCAAAAGAGTGATAATGACTTAGAAAAACCAAACTTGAGTGATAATGACTTAAAATCCAAACTTGATAATAAGTGATAATGACATTTTCCTTAGTGATTTCCAAAGGTCAATTAGTCCCCTAAAAGTAAACACACGGAAGAATAAAGAGAAATGAAAAATAAAAGATTGTGCTTTAGTATAAGAACATGTATACATTTGGGGTAGTGAACCTCCAAAGAATTTAAACCGTTAAGTATAGAACGCTTTATGCCTTTGGTAGTAAATCTCCTAAGAGATTAAATCAATAAGCATAGAACGTTGTATACTTTTGGTAATGAACCTCCTAAGCATGAAATGTTTTATGCCTTTGGTAATGAATCTCCAAAGAGATTAAACCATTAAGCATAAAATGTTTTATACCTTTGGTAATGAACCTCCTAAGCATAAAACGTTTTATGCCTTTGATAGTGAATCTCCAAAGAGATTAAACCATTAAGCATAGAGCGTTCCTTTCTTATACTTGAAACACAATCTTAATTTTTCACAACTTTTTAATCGAAATAAGCAAAGAATTGAGGGAAGTTGCAGAGATGATTATGCGAAGTTGATTAATTGGTTAGTACAAACAAACTTGATATTTAAAACATAAATCATTGAAATAAATTAAACAGCCCTCTAAATAGCATACAATAGTGCTGAAATTAAACTATAGAAAGCGAGTAAAATTAAATAGGATTAAGTTAGTAAACAAGTAGAAAGAAGGGTGGCTAACCCCTCCACTTTTACAACTTCAAATCATATAGTTTCGATGTTGAAAAACAACCCCAAAAGAATTTGAGAGAAACCTACCACTTTTACTATTCATCGTCAGAGGTACTATTCACCGCCGGAGGTTACTATTCATCTGGTGGGATAAATTATTTAAAGTAATAAATTACAACAGTTTATACACAATATTTAAATTACAGCAGATATGTGGGTGGTGCAGCCTTCCCGTTGAAACAGTAAAACAGTATAATAATAATAATAATAAATTACAACAAATATATGGGTGGTGCAGCCTTCCCATTAAAGTGATAAAAAAAACAGTTATGATAAGAAGTAAACGAAATATTTAAACAAATTATATCACATTTTTAAATTAAATAAAAATTTGTGAAAAAATCACATTTTGGGGAAATGATGAATTTTCTTAGTCACAAACTTTCTTTTGATTACTCTCAAGTGTAAAAAAAATGTGTTCTCAAATCCTCAGTAGTAATGGCAGTATTTTGGCTCAAGATTGAAATATTTTCTCTCTTTTCTCTCCAACTCAAATGTTTTTTGTTTCTTGAATCAATTTTTTTTCGTCTTCTTCAAATCTTCCATTTGGTTGCTTTATATAAGCAACAAACAGATAATATAATAATATAAAGTATACAAAGATTATATATATATATATATATATATTTATTTATATATGTTTGCTGAGATTGATGTCGGCAGCCGAGGGCTGACCGACATCAATATAATTTTTTATTAATTTTCTTTTATTATAATATAATATAATATATAAAATATCTAAAATATATGGTCATATGAAACCCTTGTCGAGCAATTCCTAAAGTTGTGTTTTCAACTATTTCAATTCTACAATCGGCATGCGCTAAAGGGTTTTTGATGCGCACCAAGTTGGGTTTCAATGGTGAATTCAACTTCTTGATCAACTAAGGTACCAGGGTAAATCTTCAAGAAAGACATCAGAAAATGCTTGGACTATAGGTATTGAATTGAGTGTTTGGTCCACTCGTTGAGTATTGACCACATAACAGGTATACGCACAACAACCTTTTCTGAAGAGTCGTTGGGCTATCATAAGGGATACTAAATATGGAGGGGTATAAATTCCAGTTCCATCAAAGACAAGTTCACATTGGTTTGGTAATTGAAAGAAGACCTTTTTGGTTGTACAATCAATAGAGGCATGGTTGCCAGCTGGCCAATCCATTCCTAAGATTATATCAAAACCACTGATGCGAAGTGAAATCAAATCCACAAACAAGATTTCACCTTTAAGGATATAGTACATGATTTATATATATTGGTACTAAGTGTAGAATTACCAGATGGAAAAGACACAGGCTATGCATATCCCAAGGGTTCAGGTGTTGATGACAATTTGGGAGTAAAGTGTGGAGAAATAAATGAATGAGTTAATCCAAAATC